CAGTGATGGGACCTGCCTGGGAGCACCTTCAGGGAAGCTCAGGCACCGGGCCAAGAGGCAGAAAGCAGACCCAGGCGCCCCTCCTCTGGACGGCCAGCACCTCTCACCCCCGCCCCAGCCGGCCCTGTCAAGTGCACCATGTGCCAGCTGAGCAGGCCGCGGCTCCCCAGGCGCTGGAGCTCTGTAAAAGTAAGTTCTAACCGACCTGGAAGTAGGCGTGGGACTCTCCTGCTGGGGTCACCGCCTGGTAGGGCCCTGCCCTTGCCTCCCATTGAAATCCAGTGCCCAGATCTGCAAACCTATGGAGCTCTGAGTTCAGTTTTCCTCATCCCCCAAACCAATGGCTGCTCTAGAGGCCCCAAGGCCACACTGCTCTGCAGAGGCTAAGCTCTAGAGGCAGGGGGTCTGCGGTTGGCACAGGTCCCACTGTGTGACTTCAAATGCCACGGGCAACCTCCAGAGAAGGTCGCATGGGAGTTGACACTCAGAAGTGCCCGTCACATTGACTGCCCCGGATGATGCACCCAGGACAGTGGGATGTGCTGTGGGGCCTGATGCCCCACTGGCTGCCCAGCATGTGCAGCCCACAGCAGCAGCTCCTGGACTCCACTTGGCGGGATCTTCACACCCCTCACCATCCGAGTTTCACTGCGCCTGTCTACTCACACATCCAAGTTGCTGTTCCAAAGTTAGGAGCTATTTTAATAAAAATACAGGAGGAAGTAAGAGCTTAGACCAGGATGCCAACAGATTAGACCAGTGGCCAACGCATCTTCCATGCTTTCTGGTGAGCTTCAACAGCTTTGTGGATAAATAAAATTATTAGTAGAGCATGTCAAAATTCTTGTATTAACTTTAAAGGAAAATTCATGTTCTAAGAGTGTTTTCTAGGTGTTGCTCACTATTGTTAAATATTGGTGGACATCATTTGCATAACTCACCTTTGAAATCAAAAACACATGCCACACCTGGGATAGTCTTACACACTTACCTGACTGTGTGCAGAGAGGAATTGCATGGCAGCGGCGGCGGCAAATAGGGCTTTTGTCGTGCCAGAACCTGAGCTTTCCAAGACCGACATGCGGCACACAAGGAAGCAAGGAACACCTGAGTTTCAGGACCTGTTACCATAAGGCAGGGCCCCGGTCAGCCTCCTGGCTCTCACATGGCTATGGCGCTGCTTTACAGAATGAGGCCCAGCACAGAAGGGCCTCTCAGGAGATGGTCACTTGTGCAGAAGTTGCTGCTGAGCAGGGAACTGAGAGGACAAATGGCTCATTGAGGGACTCTACACAGCTTGGAAGGAGCCCGCAGCCAGCAAGGCCTTCTCTAAGCCTCGGCTTTTGGACAGAGGATCTCAAGTGCATCTATCAGTCACTCCAGAGCCAGTGGGACCATCCGGAGAGACAAGCAGTTCTGCAAGGACTCTCCCACTACAGCACAGCACTGCTCGATTCCTTCCAGGAAGAACTGGTGGCCTGGGGGGCTACAAGACCTTCCCAGCAGCCACCAAGGAAGGGGTCTTCCCGGCAGTGGCCGAACCGAACCCTGGAAAGAACTAAGGGCCGTGAGGCCTTTCCTTCCAAGCGCCACTGGGGGCTACTTTATTTTAATTTTGTGCTAAGGATACTAGCCATGAGCCAGGGGCAGTGGCATATGGCTGTCATCTCAGCTACTCAGGAGGCTGAGGCAGGAAGATGGCAAGTTTGAGGTCAGCCTGGGCAACTTAGTGAGACCCTGTCTCAAAATAAAAAATAAAAAGGCTGAGGGTGCAGCTCCGTGGTAGAGCACCCCTGGTTTCAATCCCCAGTACCATGGAAAACAAAGCAAAACAAAAAACCCAAACCCTAACCGTGGATCCTCCTCACACATTTTTTTAATATTTATTTTTTAGGTGCAGTTGAACACAATACCTTTATTTTGTTTATTTCTATGTGGTGCTGAGGATCAAACCCAAGGCCTCACACGTGCTAGGCGAGCTCTCTGCCACTGAGCTACAGCCCCAGCCCCCCTCACACACTCTGAAGTGTACAACATGTTAATGTTACCTATAGACAGGACAGCGGACCTCCCGATGTCCTCGTCCTGCAGAACTGCAGTGTTACCACTGACCCACCACCCCAGGCTATCTTCTGCCTCGCCCCAGTCAGCCTTTTGTGCTCTCTGGCCTGTTCTGGGAGCTTGCAGCACCCCATGCTCTATGGGCTACAGGGGAGTAGGGTCTGGAGGAGGCAGAAACAGAGGCCCAGAGGTCAGGCATGGACCCAGTGGTCTGACTGTGACAAGTGGCTCAGCCTCTCTGTCCTTATTAGTACAGAGAAGGAAATTCTCTCCAGGGTTTTCTGAGAGTGAGACATGATGAACTGTGTAGAGCACGCAGCACAGGCACTCTGGGTGCTGCTCAGTTAAGATGGGCTGCCTAATCTTCTCACGGGGGCCAAGGTGCTCCTAAGTTTTAAACAGCAGTTTTGGGAAATGGCCTGGTGTTGATCTTCTGTTACAAACAGAAGGTGTCATGGAAACATGTTATCTGAGATCAAGCTTAAAGAATAGGACACATGGTAAGGAAATAAAGAAAAAAATGACCATTGTAGCCAAATGCGCCCTGTCTGGGTAGTGCTGTTATTGTAAAGCTACCTGTGTCCTGCAATCAATCAATAAAGGCAGCACCAACCCAATCTTTACTGTGGCTTTCGTTTTCAAAATTTGACAAAACAGGCCTATAGTTGACCTGGAAGAACCAACACATGAGAAGAGCGGAACATTATGTCAAAGAAACTAATGAGGGAGATGGAAGTAGCCTCACCAGCCATGCACGCTCACTAGACCTGGAATTCACCTTCCATTTTGTGCATGCGTGCTGTGCTTTGATAAAAAGGCTACACACATATATGTGCAATTGTGTGTGTGCACATTACAGCCACTGAATGAGAAGTTCAAAGAACAGAAAAGTGTAGAAACTGTCCCACATATGGAAACACAGATCTCATAGTCAGTGGAGTAGGTAGGCTAACTGGTAAATATCTGGGGATGAAGTTAGATCCATTGACCTTTCCCCTAGGAGACTGTTGTGTTATTCGGAATCATGCAAAATGTAAACATTTAATTCACATTCACACAATGTATATGACCTTGGGGAAAGGAAGGCCTTTCTTAAAATGATTATAAGGCTAGAAACCAGCAAAAAGCCTACATAGAAGAGTAAAAAATTATCTGTGGCAAAGGACAGGAATATCACTGCACACAGAAAGTGAAAAATAACAAACTGGGAGAAATATTTGCAACATATGAGGAAAAAAATCAGTCTTGATAGCCTTAATATATAAAAAACTTTTCAAAGTAAATAGCGAAAACACATCCCCAATGAAAAACTGAGCAAAGATGAGAAGTTCACAGAAGACACACATGGCCCATCTGAATATCATAAATGTCATGCATGGCATGCAAATTAAAACAGCAAGTCAGTAGCAAAGGTCATCCTGGAAAGAGTCAAAAAAGAAGTGTCCCCCCGCAATGAATCTTTTCAAGCTTCTGGACCAGGTACCAATGTACAGGAAATACAGAGGTCAGAGCAGCACACAGAACATGAGAGAGATACCATTAACAAAATCTTAAACTAAAGTTACCAACTAGTTTCGAAAAATAAACTGTTAGGAGAAAAGATGCAGGGAAACCCCCCACCAGGAGACTTGGGAGCATATCCACTGGCCACAATGTGTGCACCGTGCCTGGGTCCAGATGCAAAAGCTGTAAAAAGTAACGCAAAACAATCTTTTGACAAAGCGTGTGAAATCTGCTCAAGGACTAGACATTTCACGACAAAAGGAATTATTGCAAATTTATGTGAAGAATGACGATCATACTGTGGTTATGCTTCCTAAATGTCTTGTGGGACACACATTAAAGTGATCATGGATGAAATAATATCACATCTGGTATTTGCTCTCAGTGTAGAGGGGAGATGTAGGTGCAGAGTGGCTGAGCAGGACTAGTCATGAGCTGACTGGCCGCTGCTGGAGGTGGATGAGTTCAAACTACTTAGAAATATTAGAAAGATTCCCAGTTTAAAAAAAAAAAAATAACAACAACAAAAAACTCTGCCCAGTGCTAGAGAAGGGACAGGGGAAGAGACATGGGTTCTTGGTATCCCCTTTCCAGAGGGCAGAAACCGGAATATACCTTCTAGCAATTCTACTTCTGAAATGCTTTTATAAAACTTACAAAATGTGTGTAAGAAGGTTTATAAAGCAGTTTTTGTACTAATAGGTCAACGGATACATCATACAACCTAAAGAGGCCTGGGTAAATAAACCATACATTTCCATTCAACGGAATACTATGTAACCATTTTAAATAATATTTATTGACATAAACTATGCTCATGACCCTAACAGTAAAGTCTATTTGTGGGAAAACATGTTAGATGAAAAATTTGTGAGGATGCACCTTAAGATGTTAACTGTTATGGTTCAGATGGGAGGTGTCCCACAAAAGCTCATGTGAGACAATTCAGGAGTTTTCAGAGATGAAATGATGGTGAGCTGCGACCTAGTCAGCAGACAGACCCACTGATGTGGATTAACTGGGGGTGACCGCGGCAGGCGGGTGGGGGAGAAGGAGGTCGCTGGGGCGTGCCTTTGGAGTTCACACTCTGTCCCTGAGAGCGCTATCTCCACCTCCCGGCTGTCAGGCCTTCCGCTGTGATATTCTGCCCCTCTCTGGGCCCAGAACCGTGGGGTTAATGGATCTGGTGTGCACCTCTGAAGACATGAGCCCCCTCCTCCCCTCCATTGCTCTTCTCGTGACTTTTGGTCATGTGACATGAAAGCTGACTAAAACAGCAATGTTAGTTATTTTTCGTAATGAGGTTACAGGAGACTTATTTTTCCTTTTCACTTATCTATAATTTAAACTTTTTCTTTAATAAGTATGGATTTCGGGTACAATGTTTAATGTTTATAAACAAATATGGAAATAAACTTTTAAAAGGAGGCGAGATATTTCAAATGATGTTAATAGGTCTGTCTTTATTAACTTGGCAGGCATTCAAATTTTCTGAAATGATTTTTGTTTTATAATTTGTTGGTTTAGAAGCAGCTATAAACATTTTGTAGAATTATCAAAAGTATACTTTGGTATTTTCAGCCCCTCCACAAACAAAACAATAGTGACAGATTAGAAAGAACAAATTGAAAATTGATCTAATGGAATACAAACAAAAATGCCTATCTGTTTCCTCAGGGTGTGAGAAAAGGTCTTTTTCTTTTCTTATCTTTTAACAAGAAAACAGAGAGGAAGTGCTTTAAAGGGATAATCAGATTTCATGCTTGTCATGGGCAGCGTCAAAGCCTAATTTAGCAAAACCCATGCAAGTTCTGCCTGTGAGCCAACCTGCTTTGGTACCTGGGGTGTTGCCAAGTCAGTGTGGCCAGGAGAACGGTCCAGGGTGAGGACCTGCCCTGCCACAGGGCTGACCAGGCCACCCCCGCAGGGTGCAGCCTCGTCACCCAGCACCCAGCCTACGGCAACTGGGCAGCCAGGGAGAGACGGCCAGGTGACAGTCTACTCAAAGGTGGGACTTTCCTACTCAAAGGTGAAACCTTCTGCCACCTTTTAAGATGACTTTTGCATAAGGTGGTGTGGGAAGGGTTCGGTACATAGCAGCACTTAAGGACCAAAACAGAAGTCCATGTTGGGAGGGCCTGTGCCAGGAGACCCGTCGTGGCCGTCGGGGAACAGTATGCTGCTTTCCTTTCTGTATTCTCTCTGTTTGTCCACAAGGGCAGGGGTTATTTGTAGGAAGGTGAGAAGGCACTTGAACAGGAATCCACCCAGGCCTCACACCATTTTGGCTGTGGGGCCTTAAAGAGAGAAGCTGATTAGGGAGCAGACACTGAGCTTGTGGCTAGGGTGACTCTGGAACTGGTAAGGTGGGCCAGAGGCCAGGAGCATCTGTGACAACCAAGCAGGTAGAGGTGGGCTGGGGGTCGTGCTGCCAGACTGTCAAGCTGCCAGCTTGAGGACAGCATGGCCAACGGGGATCCTGCTGCGAGACAGGCCAGAGTCGGAGGGTTCCGAGGGGGCACCAGTGAAGGGAAGATGGGTGGCAAGACTGGGGTTTCAGAGCATTCTATTTGTGACCTGACCTGCACTGAAAATGCAGACAAAATACAGACGTCACATCCTTCACTGGCTGTCACAGCTCCTCTGTTCAGGGCTCTTTCTACCACCTGAGACATGCAGGTGCTGCAGTAAAACTGGCAGGCCCCCACTTCTGGCTGGCCTCTTTGCCCGCTCTGGTCATTTCCATGCTGTACCTTGCAGGACCTTGGGCCCTGTCAGAGGGAAGGCTGCTTTGCATCTGGAGGGCTGTGCAGCAGGGAGCAGCCACGCCCTTTGACTGTGCTCTCATCTTCAACGCCCAGGACAAATCCTGCGGCTTCCACCCGCACCACACAGATGGGAGAAATCACACAAGCCTTATGTGTGACCCTGCAGATTCTGGCATGGGGGTATCTTCTATGGGGCAGGATGATGCCCAGGGGCTGTTTCATCCATTCATATCAACAGCCAAGGTGATTTCTGTGAGGCTGCATTTGCCAAAATACACAGCCATGGATATAGGGGCATCTCTGTAAGTTTGAGGGAAAAGGAAGAGTTTACACACAAGAATAATGTGTTTTTTCCCCCCCATAAACTCCAAGGTATGTATCTCATTTTGAAAAGACAACAAACTACAACTCTTTGAAAACATTTTGCTTAAAGCACAAATCCCAACACCTTTTCCTGCTCTGACAAGGAGCCATGGTTGTTTGGGCATGGGCTGGTGTTCTCCAAGCTGCTCTCGGCCCTGGCACCTTACTCAGGGTTAATGGCACTGTGTCCTGTGATTCTGGATAATCCAACTGCAAGTGGCACTAGTGTCCCCCCGCTGCTGTATCTTCCCCTGGTCCTCTTGGCACCACTGAACTCCCCCCAGGACTGCACAGCACGGCATTTATGGACTGGGCTCTTCCAAATGTCAGTGCTGAGGACGTCCCTGACAGGGAGCATGGCCTGTGGAATAAAGTGATAGAAACATGGAGTGTACCAGGGACTCGGGCTCTCCTCCCGCTTTAGAAGGTTTATAAGAACTTGAGATCAATTCTCTAATCCAGTGATTTCTTTAGGAACTTGTCTATCATGCGAACAGGCCATCTTGGGAAGCTTTTAAACCTGGAGAAAATAACACTAGTCTCCACAGTTCGATGATACATCCAAAACCCAAGAGAAAATAAGCAATTTCCATTTTAATATGGAGTGGGTCCTGTCCCTGTTAACTTCAATTGTAGAATTACATAGAACAGATTGGATACTAGCATTTAATAAAATCCACTTCAAGATTATAGAGCATTTTAAATATAAAAAATAAGTCTTTTAATTAAAAAGAGTATGTGAGTAGCCCTGGATACATCTACAAAACAATCCCAAAGTATAAAAGCAAGGCAACATCTGGATATGATTCCCTGAGCCACAGGGCTCCCAAACCTCACAGGGGGGTCAATACAGAACTTTTTAAACTTTTAAATAATGCAACTGATTTCCCTCTCCAGCAAGACACGTTTGAAAGGCAGCTATAGTGAGTCATAACGACTTAGGGGCTCTCTAGAAGTAACGCAGGCTCTGTAGGCTCTTGTGCAGAGGACGCAGGGATTACCTGAACGAGAGGGCAAACAATCCCCCAGCAGAGAGCGCCAGGCTGCTGTTTGAACAGGTGGGCGCCCAAACCCATCTGCAAGGGATTTACATTTGCTGTCACACAGAGGATTCAGAGCCAAAATTGGAATCTTCCCTTTTCCAGTTTGCATCTTCTAACGGTTCTCAGTGTGGTTAAAATGCCCCTGCAAAGATAAAAGAGCACATTGTGCAAATTAAGTGACCTTGGCCAGACCCACACACTTTGGCTCTGTGTTCACTGACACAATGCACTAACCCTGGTAAACAATGCCTTAACTTCTGTGGTGACTGTATATTTATAGATGTATTAATAGACATACATCGCAATTAAGATATTTAGAGCACTTCCAATAATGCCTGGCACATGCAATGTTCTCAATAAATATCACACCCCAGTTCTCCTACAGAGTGAAAATGAAAAATCATTTATCTAATCACAAAATAAATTTTAAAAAATGATGTTGCCTTAAATGATGGATCAGGATTCAAGATCAGAGAAGCAGAGCATGCTCCTTACCAGGGACATCTGGAAGGGGCCCAAATGCACAGCCACCCTGTCAGGCCACGCTCTCCCCCTCTGCAGCAGGCCTCCCACTTCTGCACCTTCTCCCACAGGAATAACTGGGAAACCAGATGGCTGGGATGAGCTGGCCAGAGGCTGACCGGCTGCACAGGGAGAGGACTCGCCAGCAGCCAGCAATCTCTGTTACACTTGGCTGATACGTCAGCACACAGCAGTGTGGCTCCTGGCCCACAGGCAGAGGCAGGCTGAGCATCCCGCCTGCAAGGACTGCCCCAGAATGGTAATGAGCTCCCTGGGCTGGCTGAGACCCAGGAAGGCTGGGACAGGTCAGGTGGTGAGGGACAAATCAGGCCAGTCCACAATGGCACCCATTTCCCAGAAGGCAGGTGTTGCCCTGAGCCCCAGAGGCCCGACAGGAGACTCAGGCCTTGCCTGGGAGACTCACAGGTGGCAGCATACCACTGCACACTGAGGGCTCATTTGGGCAACCAGAACAAAGAGCCAGGGAAGGACGCTCAGGAGTCCACCTGACTGGGGTGAGGAGGGCTTCACACAGGAGAGGTGTCTCGGATGGGCCATGACAGAGCAAGAGGATCTTACACGGCCAGAGGGCCTCCCAGGCAGCAAGAACAGCATGAGGTCAGAACATTCCAGAACTGGAGAAGCCCTCACAGTGACAAGGGCCAGCAGTGCTAGCACATGATGGGGACAGGACCCGTCATGATGTGCTGAGGCCGTGGCGCACGCATCCCGAGGAGCACGGGTGCTGCACCAACGCCAGGCCAACTCCCACGCCACTCTCACGTCACCAAGGACCTTCGGAGACAAGCTTCTTCCCTGCAGTTCTCGAGTCATTCACAGACCTGGCATTGTCCCTGAGTGGGCAGAGAACACAACACTTCCTGGACTTCTCCACCAGAGGCTCCTCAGCCACAAGGCCCTCAGGGCTGTGAGGATGGGGAGAGGAGGCTGGGAAGTCACACGCAGGTGCACAAGAGGGGAGTGGCAGGAGCCCAGTGCTTTCCTACAGAAGAGCAGGGTCAGGGCCGGGGACGAGGGACGATGCTTTTCACTTAATTTCATCCTCATCACTACCAGGGCTCAAAAAACCATTTTAAAAGGTATTCATTGAGACCTGTCACTCTGGCCCCCGCCCCTGCCTCTTCCTGTCCAAGGAGGAGGACATTTGGAAGACACGCTAAAGGCAGAGACTTGGGGACCAAGACAGCTGCATCCACGTGAGGCCTGATACCTACAGAACCTTTAGAAATATTGGTCTAATCTCCCCCGTCTCTGTGGCCTCTTCCCTCTGCTTCACACATGCAGTGTGCTGTTGTCTCTCCAGCCTGGGGCCCACAGGGACACCTCCAAGCAGCTTGATGTCCCTGATGGATGTGGGTGGTCCCATGTGGTCTGCAGTCCTGGGGTGCTGGGGCCCCCAGGCGACACACACCAGCTACCAGAGGGGCATCTGATGATGCCTGTCAGAGCACAGGGTCCAGGGAAGTGCAGGCTCACTCTGCCTGGAGTGGACACTCACTCCAGAGCACAGCACCTTGCCCTGGCTGGCTGGCCTTCCGCAGGGATCTGACAGCAGCAGCAGGAAACATCGCTTTTGGTAAAATGCAATTCCAATGTTTCACCACCAAGCAGGAGAGAAAGGCGCTTTGGGAAGGAGTTTTCATCTGCTTCTGATGTGGGGATGAGAGGGCTCAGGTCTGGCTGCTACCAGCCATGTTCCCTGCACAGCCCACCCTCTCTGCTTCCTCAGGGCAAACTTGTGCAGCCTCAAGGTCTCCTCCTGCTCTGTGGCAATCTCACTGGGTGCTCTCCACAATTAACACCCCTTTCAAAGTTCCCACTTTGTGTTCTAGAGACTTGCCTTCATGGGCTCTCCATCCCCAAGGGGCCTGCAGAGCAAGCAGGGCCAAGAGGAGCTCGCCTTACCCCATATGGCACTGTCCCATGAGGTACCCATCCTGAGACCCCATCCATGGTAAGTCCAGTTACACTGTGACCTGTGCATACTGGGAAGAGAGGCTTTGCCACATACCATTTTGCCTGTTTGCTAAGGCCATTTTTCATTAATATGCAGAACACTGGCTTTAGGGTTTCCACCTATCCCTGAATAACTATCAATGTGATAAAACAGCAGCATTTATTTGTGAGTTAAAACTGTCCATGATTCCTGCCATTGCCTGAGGAATCATTTCTTTCTTTAATAGCAGATTCGTCTTTACTGCCACAGAACAGGTCTTTCCTCAAAGGCTTGGACAACTTCAAAGGCTACAAAGAAATCTTGGACTTCTAAGATAACCATCCTTATTTTGCTGGCATGAGCCTTTGTATAATGAAATATCTTTATCATACCCCTATCTGTCCATGCTAAGTCAGCATGCATTATGCACCTGTCCCATCTTCCTCCCTTCCTTCTTGGAGGGAGTCGCTGCTCTAAGACAGCACGCATGCATCCTTCTGTATAAGGAAGTAGATGTATGTGAGAGCAGAATCACAACAAAGGGATTAGCCACAAAGCTGTAGAAGAAGCCACAAGAGACCATGTAGGCCTAGATCACAGGGAGATGAGGAGCAAGCAGTCACCAGATCTGGAAGACGATGTGTTATGGATTGCTGGCCCCTTGAAAGAAACAGTGACATTGGCCGTGGCACACGTCAAGCACCCTGCCCTCCCTCTCCAGTCTTCTGCTGCCTTCCCCTAGGGTCCCCAGTGGCTGGACTCACAGACAAGTCAGAGAGCCCAGCTATCCCACTGATACGGACCAAACAGCCTGGCTCTGAGTAGAAGGCAGAGAACAATGGAAAATGGATCTGGAGAGGAAAACAAAATAGAAATCTCAGTCGTTGAACATACAGGACAGATTTTAAATCGGCTACTCTAAGTATGTTCAAAGAACTAAAGGAAACCACAATTAAGAATTAAAGAAAAGCAGAACAACAATGTCTCACAAAATAGGGAAGAAGTATCAATAAAGAGACAGAAGTCTCTCTCTCTCTCTCTCTCTCTCTCTCTCTCTCTCTCTCTCTCTCTC